GCAGATTTCCAGGAATTTATCATAAAAAAAAAAGAAAAAAGAACATATCCACAAATGGCCAAACAACATTGCTGATCGACTGTTCATAACTTTGAAACAAAAATTTTTTATCAAATCATGTATTGATCTAAACTAGACCACTACTTCAAACCAGCTATTTTGTATGGAACGCTTCAGTAGTGCACAGTAGTGACCTCAGCACGAGATTAAATTATGGAAGCAGTATAATTTACTTTCAATTATTAGACTTCATATTAAAGTTTCTTGATTCGTAAACGAATAACCTCTATTTATCAAATTGCATTTTATATATACCCTTGGAGAACTGGGCGTGTTTTTTTCTTTTAACTGACTGTCAAATATTCTCGTCAACAACATTTTTTTTTCTAAAACTTTATTTATTTATTTATGCTATCAATAATACAGAGAAAGTAAAATGGAATACAGAAAATTATTTTTTATGACACTATCTCTTCATTTTCAAAGATGAAAATAATCGTTCTTTAAAACTTCCTAATGGAAAAATACATTAAAAAAGAAAATGCAAATCTCTAGAAACGGCACCTTTCAGTCAGTATTATGCATCATTATTGAATATAAGATTTTATTTTTTTTTTAAAAAAAAAATTGGAAATAATCCGTTTCTATATGAATCATATAAAGAATGAAAGAGAAATGTTGCAAATAGTCACGCAATTTCACATTTGATCTGCAAATGTATACATACTTGCTGCATAAATGCATGTATGTGAATTGGTTGGCAATTACATGTATACTACTAAGAGTTCTAAGAAAATGTCGTAAAAATACGACAATGAATTGCATATAACAAAAACAATTAATCCAGTAGGCTAACAGTAATCAGGAGTCTATAAATCTGGGGAAATAACAGTTAATCATCAACAAAATTGAGAATTACTTTATTCGAGTTTTGATTTTCGTGAATTGAAATCGTTGACTGTATTTGTATTGCTCGGTTTTTTTTCCGGCTGTTTTTATTTCTGTCGAGAAATGTGATATTGATAATTAAAATGGAGAAGTGATATTTTCAAAATGAAAAACCACATTTTATTGAGCACATCATCAAATTTTTTTTTGAATTACATGTGACTTGATATTTTTATGCGAAGGATTTTATCGCTTATTTTCTACACTAATTAATGTTTATTGAGTATTCCATTTTAAAAAAGTATTTGAAAATAAGTTTAAAGAAATGGTTTTAAATCAAAGTTTGTTTCTGCGTTTGCGATGTTTAACACAATCGAAAATGATAAACAATATTTTACTAAACTAACTATCAGGAGTCCCGTAATCGTATTCAAAGGTGTGTCTTTTTTCTGACGATGTAGATATATCTGAAAAGTAGATGTTGACAAATTACCTTCGACTAAATTCCTACCATATAATCTGAATTATAATCATTTTTCAATTGTAATTGGTTTCACTTTCAGAGATGGTCAAGAATATTCTACCACTTTAAGTCAATTGAATATATTCCCTAGATAATGTTAAGTCACTAAGTAATAATGAAAGCCAAGTCGATACATTTTAATATTGCTGTCAATCAGATCTTTGGAAAATTTATCACTGGTATGAATTCATTGAATAATGAATTTTAACAAACAATTCTATTTGCTGAGAAATATTGACATTTTACTGTGAATATTATCTGAATTGTTTGAAATGGAAAATTTCTAACTACTGAGTAGTTTAATGTTCATTACAAAACATTTTATGGAATTTTCAGACACAATCATTGTCTTTATACTAGCCTACAAGGAACACAGTTTACAAACAAGTAAAATGATACAGTTACAGAAATATATCTTAAATTATTATTGGTATTGTTACTTCTACTACCTATCACTATTACTACTACTACTACTACTACTATCACCACTGTAGTATACCATACTATACTACATTACTAGTACGAACTTATTAAAATCTCATGGTTGAGGATGAATGCCAATTTTTGTTTATTGGAGAAGACAAGTGGTTTGTCAGAAAACAATGATGTTTTCATTCTATTATTGTATTTCTTTCTACAAAGTATTTTATTATTTGACTGTATAACATTTTTCAGAAATTATCAAAATTTTGTACTTGAAATGAACTTCATTTGGATATCTGACTGATTTGCTTGAGCAATTACGAGTTTACTTCACTCGGTAAACGGAACGAAAATCAATGATTCAGCGACACGATAGGCCACTCTATTTGCCCCAGGCCGCACTAACTAGACGAAGAAGTCTTAATAAGGAGTAGAGCGTGTATTCTACAGGCACTCAGGAAGACTGAGGTTGCTAATCACACACATCAAAACCTGCTTATGCACTGATAGCAACGGTCTTGGGAGTGCCACAAAGTAGAGTACTAAAATAATCCAGCAACCAATGACAGTTAAGGATTTCACGAGGCGGAAGTATCAGCTGAAGGTCAACTGGTATATAAACATACGAATTCAAAATCTCAGAAATAAATTACAAAATTAGGACCATTTCCAAGTGAGTTCTGGAGATCTAACGTCCCCCACACTGACATGATATCATGTATATTTTTTATTCTGGATAAGCTAACGAATGAGAAATTAAGCAAAATATCAATGATTCTTAATTATAATGATAGTGAGTAATGCATTCACTTCATAAAGAAATGATCATAATATTTTGTAAATTCTTATGAAGACTTTCCACTATGGATACAAATGAATAAAACGCTGACAACCCGTTTCTAGTCGGTTTGATTACAATATAGACAGTCAACTTTAAACAACTAATCAAGTAAGAAAGTATAAAAAAAATTATTCATCAGTCGGCTACCTGTTTAGTTTTATGAAATAAAATCCCGTTTAAGAAATAGTATCTATGTCGGAAAGAATATAAGAATTCAAAGTGTAAACCTTTAGTTAATCTGTGAAATTTGAACTGTTTATTTATTTATTTATTTGTTTATACGAATGACCGCTAGTCAATATCGCTTGTTTATTTATTTGTCCTTCTCCTCTTCAAAATGGCGTTGTTTTGAAATTAATGAAACCCAATTATTTTAATCGTTATTTTATTATTTTTTCCCCTGATATTTCGTGTATTTTTTTTTTGGTAGGTATTGTGATACCTCGGCTTTTGGTGCTAGCAGACAATGACAAGATAAAATGCCCTTAGCTACAAACACGTGACTATAAGTAATCATCTATTGATGACTATTATTAACTATTTGGTCTATGGTTATTTTGACAATATGCGAATGTATGCATTTATCTGTGAATAGTGGCAGATAGGACAATCCCAGTAGGGTGCCTGATATTCGAGATTACGAGTGACAGGTTGATAGGTGATGTTATTGTATTTATCATCTTTCGAAAAAAAATCTATTTTTTATATCAGATATATATTCAAGTACGTATTTGTATACATATATATATACATATATATGATTATACAGGTGAAAAGTAGTTTCATTTAAGGGTGGATTGGATTGTTTTTCCCCTTAAAAACAAACAAACAAACAAATAGTTGCTTCACTAGATTCTGTATAGATTTTTATGTTTACTTATAGACAGTGAAAACAAAATAACAATAATAATAATAACAGCAACACTGTCCGTATAACAATTTTAATGGTAGTTTATTTGCTCTATACGCCATGAGGTCAGGTGAAAAAAAAACAGATGACACTTGGCAAAATTGTCTAGGATTCACTAGATATTATTTTGTGTTTTGATTTTTTCTATGCTTTAGTCTTCTAACAATAAAATGTGTCAAGAGACAGTTTATTAAAAAAAAACTAAAAACAAACTATTTGTATACAATTATTCAAGTCTGATATATTTTAGCTTGTTTTTATTTTTCGCTCTCTAACTTTACAATGATCATACTTTAACACGACGAGTTACTATATTTTTGTTAGATGTTGCTTGCTATACACTGAATGCTATGCATTGAATGAATGAACAAGCCACTGGAGGTGTTTCACTAACCAATTTATTTTATTTTACACGTGTATTGAAAAGAACAAAACAGAAAAACAAAGCAAGGCAAATTTGAAAAAAATAAAGTAGATAAATAAATGGATTGTTAGAAAGAGAATATGTGTATGTTTGTCGCAGGTATTAAACAATTTTCAAACATGACACTTGTTCTATTACAGAAAAAAAAAGTAAGGGAACGGTAAAGGAATTACTATACAAGTATTGATCAAGGATTTTTCTAAATTAATTTTTTCAATTGTACAAAAATCAAATTGGTGTTGTGTTTTTTCTGGCGGATATTTTGTAATTAAACGGTATGAAATCGAGTAACCTAATAATTGCAGTGCTAGTGATATATTGTTAGTTGATAAGTGAATAATAACCAATAATCCTAGTGTCTAATTTATAGCGCTGATCGAATTTCAATGCAATATGAACAATGGACTATACTGTCCAATATGATGGTGAATTTATTTTTGATGGTAGATAAATTGTAGGGAGCTAAGACAAAAATTCTGCACCTGAGCTTTATGTTCATTGCCACTTATTATTATGACTGAATAACTGTAAGATTCAGGCAGTTAGTGTGGCCATTGGAATTCGAATTAACATTACTACTACGTATCACATTCAAAATGATTGCCACTAAAGGATTTCAAGCATAGGCTGGTTGTTTTGACTATGATTATCAATCGTTTGTACTTAATTTGATTTAATATCACTAATTAGTTGACGATTCGCGGAATCTCGTTTAAACATTTCTTGTAATATTTGAAGCTGTAGTATATTTATGTGATAGATATCCCTTGGCAAAAAAGATTTTTAAAAAAAACCGTAAAACAACATTCTACGGTAAGTGTGTAATAGACTAGTTAATGGAACTGAACGTGAAGTGTTTGAAACCGATTTGACAAAAGAGCTGTCACTTAAAAACGATTGTATTTGTAAATTTCAATTATATATGAAAGTTTATTGAAGAATATTAGCAATAAACACTATATATATACATAAAAATAACAGTATAACTTACCAGAGAGAAGAACCTCCCTTATAAGCAATGTAGTCCAATATACAAAAATTTTAATTGAAAATAATTTCCAAATCATTTTTTTTCTGATTTAATAATTTTACAATTGGATTCGTAATTCAAATTGTGATCTGTAAAAAGAATGAATACAAATGTTTTTTTTTAAATTCATCGACGAATATATAATGAATCACAAACAAATCAAAGTGTCATGTATAAATTACAGTAATTGTGTGATTATATTTAGAGACAAAAGTTATTTCCTGGTGAAACTTCATAGATGAATAGTTTATCAGGAGCAGGAGAGATGTTGATATACACTTTCGTATTATAATTACTTATCCCTACCGTTTGTTGTTGATTTATAGATAATTTAGCAAATAATCCCGTCTTTACGGAATATGCAGCGCTATTTAGCCTTTACATTGAAAGACTCACACAATGGCTAATCATAACCATATTAGATCTAACAGAAAAGCAATTACGTTTTATACAACTCTGTACAAGAGTATGTACATCTTGGTTGTTTTCAGAGCATCAACGAAACTAAAATAAAGAATCAAGACAAGCTGGTGTAACTGCCTTCCAGCTACCTTAATGTCAAATTTCTTTTCAAAGAGAATAATTGTGAAGAGTGGAGAATTTTCACAGTTTAGTTTACAAGGTGATTTTGGTTAGATGATCATTGAAAACTTGAAAGCACTGGATGACTGTTTCTCTCTAGTATGATTCTTCTCAGCAGTGCACATCCATAACCGGGAATCGAACCCAAGACGTTTGCAGTCCAACCATGCCAGTTATGAGATAGTTTTCCATTTAAAGCGATAGATAAGCGTTGGATAACAGTGTAAAATTGACTGGAGTTGAACGCTGGTGTCTTTGAATCCTGGTACAGCGGTCTGGAGGTTAAGAGTTCGCTTATAAGTCTTGCATTGGATTCTCGAATTTGGAGTCATAGATGCGCACTGGTGAGAAGGCTCAAAATAGGACAAAATGACCGTCCAGTACTTCTATGTTTTCAACAGCTATCTAAGGTTACTTCATAATTTAATATTAGAAAGTCACTGGTATTGGTGCAAAAATGTAACTTTTTAGTATAGATTTTGTCAATAAACTCTCCTGCATGAATTATGATTACTTCGTCCTATTTCATTACACCACCTTTTAATTCGTCATTTTAAAGCTAACTTTTACTGGAATATATTTTAATCTAAATTTATTATCAGATACGGTTTGATATTACACTGTGATCGATAACTGAACATATACATTCATCCTCAACCTATTCATGTAATAACTTTATCACCTATTATAATCAAACTAATTTTTTTTAACATGCTTATGCATTCATCACGCAAAGGTCATAGGTGTTAAATTACAGCATCCTATATCAAATAACTTTCATTATGAGTTCACAAATATTTTATAATCAAAAAACCTGTTGCTAACTTGATGTTCACTTGACTAAACTATTGAAAATTCTAGCTTATGGATTTTTTAGAAAAATTAATAATGTAGTTAATCCTTGACCGTTTACAGCTATTTATCTGATCAAAAGTAATATGCTTGCATATTTTCGTACACGCGGAATTGAAAAAGACTCATTGTGAAGTAAATTATGACATGAATTATCAATCTTCACTGACTGAGTATGCTTACAGTGCCTACACTGACAAGTAATTTCGGCTGGTGTAAGAATAAAGCTAGGATCTTTCGAAGATGAAGCTAATGAGTGTTTAACTGAATCATGCTGATGACTTGAAACAACCAATATAGAGTACTCACAGTAATTGTAATCACCTTTGGAGATGCTGGTTGACAAGACTCAGAATCGGATTCCCTCTTCGCCAGTCCTTGGATGCTAAGCTTCAAATGATCTTGAGCTAATTTTCTAATTCCACAAATTCATTTCTCTCTTGTTGAATCTTATTTTCTACACATAATCTACCATTTATATTATTACTACTTCTAGTACTCTCGAACTTGTCTTGCTCTATTGATTTGGTGTGGAAACTTATGTCTATGCACACTTGTGCTAGGTTCTATAGTGTATATGATATAATAACTGACCGAACTAGAAGGAAAAACAATTCGTGATTCAGCATTAGAGGGAATATCAAACGATAATTGGTTGTAGAAGAAACAAAAGAGTTAAAATCATAAGGGAAGGAAAGCTTGTTTTTACTTAACTGCAGATTTACAATTTATAACTTTTGTTAACCAGCCTAACATAATTAGGATTCATCAAACGTATGTAGAATTCTCCTTCAACTACCAGATAGTGTAAATATTGGTACTGACATACAAAAAACCAATAAGTTCTCATTACGAAAATTTTTGTTAAAAAATGAAGATCATTGTCTGCACAAATTAATATATTCAGGTGAATTATATTTTTGACAGCATATCAGTTAATGATTCAGTTCATTGACTTAAGGTCTTTCAACAGAAAACAACCATACAGTCTATTAAATAAATTACCAAGATCGGGATCAATAATAAAGAATAAAACTAAGGATAAATCATGTTTAACTTAGAAAAATTATCAGTCCGATATAATCAAAAAAGTGTATGTGATATCGATTTACTTTAACGAATGATCATGCTACAATTAGTTGAGAACATTACAAACTTTTCAGACAGTCAGTTACAGCTGAAATAATTTATTGATAACATTTAAAATTGTGAAGCCGAATGATTCAAACTCAACTCCAACAAACAGATACAGATACACCTTGCAGACTAGTGTCAAAATACCACGAAATCTAGATCCAGGGTTTTTCTGCCTACCACTTCCAGTACATCACTTTTCGATTAGATCAAATCATGTTTATTACAGGCAACAATTATTACTTCTTAAAACTGCTGATCTCTTTTCATCAGTTGAATCTATATATTTATACAGTATTATTTTATACACCTTTGAATAAACTAATCAAACTAACTATGACAAATTTGTTCTAGACACTTCACTATGATTAGTGACAATGATATCTACACTTAAACAAGCAACATTCATCAATTTTTAATGTTGATCTACTTTCTGCTTATCCATGATTTTTAATGTGTGCATTTACGTTTGTTTAGTGATGATCAAGGAAGGCGAGAGAGAGAAGGAGAGAGAACATTCACCAATTACTAAAATAAACCCGATTTCACTGAATATAATATAAAAAATGATTTCAAAAAAACAAAATAAAAATCAGAAAATCCGTTAAATAATAATTGCATTCACTATATGAATGTTTCATTTTTGAAGATTATCATCTTTTCATACAATCACAGAGTGTATTCATCATAAATTCATATATATTCAATGGAATATAGTCAGTCTTATCTTAGGAATTAAATCATTTCATTCGAAGCCACAACAAAACAAATAACAAAAAACATACTTTTCTGATTAAGAAACATCTGGTACAAAATAAAAATCTTTCAATCATGTTAACGCATGGCATATCTACACTACTGTACTCAACATTGAATGAACCACAAGAATAATGAAGAAAACGAAGATAAACTGTGTATTCGATGTAAAAAATAAAATGCATAAATTAATCGTGTTTGAACAGGTTCACTTTAAATTATGTATATGTCTTTGTATGCGTGTGTGTGTGTGTGATTTTTTCGATCTATTTGTCAGGAAAGTATATCCTACTCTCTCTCTCTCTCTCTCTATTTTTATATGCTTCACTGATCTGGAAATTTGACTGACAGTTTAAACCAGAAAAATAAAAATAAAAACTAACTACAGGTATACGTCAAAAAGTGTAATTTGAAAAAGAAATTATGACGAAAAAATTATACCACACAAATATTTTCTCATACACGACTGTATAAATCTTTCTGTTTTTCTTCTTCTTCTAATTATTATTATTACTGTTATCAGTGTATAGTATTATTACTCGATCATCTTTGAATGCTATGGATGTAGAATATAAATAAACTATTAAGATATTCTGATATAAATGATTTATTTAGTATTTTTGTAAATTATTTACACTTAGTTGATTGTAAATCAATTTATCTGTAATCATCTTTATATTAGTTTGGTTTATGAAGTGAATAAAATCACTGCCTACGAATGGATGTATTGTTGCATTGAAACCATCACTGGAAACTTAGCAGCTCTCTAGAACCATGTCATTGTAGTACAGGACTTCTTAGCATTGGGTATTCATGACACTGCAAACTGGTGTTCAACCCAAAAACCTTTGATCTCATGTACCAACGCTTAAGAATCTTGACTACTCAGTCTTGGGATCGACTCCTAGTGGAGTCAATCATGTCCACTGCCGATGAACTCGATACTATGATTTAACAGCTGTTCAATTCATTCCATTCTTTAGTGATGCTCTAGCTACAATCAGTTCATGATATCAATGATAGATATTATTCTCTTGTACTAAACCTAACAATAAATGATAGTTAGCCAAAGAAAAAAAAAGCGTAGGTGACTTCTGGTTAATTTTTAAAGGAAGTGATCAGTCAGTTGATTGTGTTTTCTTGTGATTACAAAAAGTAAACTTTAGGTGATACCGTGATCAGTATGTGTAACTAATCAAGAATTCAATAAAAATTTACATTAGGAATTTTTCTCTGAATATTAGAATCGACTTATAACAAGCCAATTGTATAGCCTATTGTAGTTAAAAAGATTCATCCGGACTATAAGTATGTGTATGTGTTGTTGCGAAATCTCTAACTAGGTTTAAATGGGTATAATAGTTGGCAGTTCCAGTCAAACAGAAACAATATGGGAGCAAACAAAACAATGTATCAATCCAATTTACCACACCACATCAGCAAAAAGATATGAAAAGTGAAGTAGTATAAGTGGTAGTGAGTGTGATGATGAAAAAACATCGAAGATAAGGATTTACCACAAGTCCTAGGAAGAAGTGGTAACTTATGGAGTCTAGATACTTTGGAGATGAAATATTCGTCGACACTAACAATGGTTAATCGTAGTACCATATTGCTGGAAGCTAGATGAATGATTCTGTTGCAATCATTATTCTCAATTTTTTGAAACGATAGTCTCCACCAAATTTCCATTATATTTCTACAGCCACTTGC